AATAATAATAATAATAATAATAACCCTGAGATTCCACCTTAACCAATCAGAATGGTTTAGATCAAAACTTCAGATGACAGCACATTTTGGTGAGGATGTGGAGAAAGAAGAACACTCCTCTATTACTGGTGGAATTCCAAACTGGAACAACGAGTCTAGACATCAATCTGGGAATTCCTCAGAAAATTGGAAATAGATATACCTGAAGATCCAGCCATACCACCCTTGAACATATACCTAAAAGATGTCCCACCATGCCACAGGGGCACATGTTCCACTACATTCATAGTGATTTTGTTTGTAATAGCCAGACCTGGAAACATCCCAGGTGTCCCACAAGAGATGAATGCATACAAAAAATGTGGTTCATTTCCATAATGAAAGACTATTCAGCTATTAAGAACAAGGATATCGTGAGTTTTTCAGGCAAACAAATGGAACTAAAAAATATCATCCTAAGTTAGGTAACTCAGACCCAAAAGGACATGCATGGTATGTTCTCACTAATAAGTGAATATTAGCCAAAAAAAAAAAAAAAAAAAAAAAAGGTACAGAATACCCAGGATACTATCCACAGATCTCAAAAAGGTTAACAAGCTGAAGGGCCCAAGTAAGGATGCCTCAGTCCTACTTGGGAGGGAGAAGAAAGCAATCACAGGACGGGGAGTGGGGGTAGCAATAGACCTGGGTAGGAAAGGGGACAGGAAAGGGAAGAGGGGAACATGATCAGAGATTGGGTGGGGTAACAGGCTGTGAAACCCTGAGGATCAGCAGAAAAAATGGAAATAGGCAAATTTGGAGGTAGGAGGTGTAGAGACCCTCCAGAATGTACCAGAGACCTGGGAACTGAGAGAGTCTCAGGACTCAAAGGGAGAGACCATAGATGAAATGCCCTAGAGTAGTGAACTTGTAGAATCCAACTCCAGCTGAAAGACAGAGCATCAGTTGAAGGATGGGGTTGCCATGGGCAAAAATACTCTAACCTAGAATTGTTCCTGTCTGAAAGAACTGCAGGGACAAAGCTAGAGAAGAAACTGAGGAAAAGGAGGTCCAATGACTTGCTTAAATTGGGATACAGCTAAATGGATGGTGCCGAGGTTTAACACTACTACTGTGGCTATGGTGTGCTCACAAAAAGGGGCCTATCATGACTGCCCTACAAAAGACTCAACAAGCTCTTGAAAGAGTCAGATGAAGATATTTATACCCAACCAATGAAGCTGCTGAACCTTGTGGTTAAATTATGAAAAAGCTGGAAGAAGCTGAAGAGGAGGGCAATCCTATAGGAAGACCAATAGTCTCAACTAACCTGGACCCTAGAGATCTCTAAGACACTATACCACCAACTAGGGAGCATATACCAGCTGATATGAGGCTCCCAACACATGTACAGCAGAGGACTACCAGGTCTGAACTCAGTCAGAGAAGATACACCTAATCCTCAAGAGATTAGAGGCCCCTGGGAATGTGGAGGTCTGGTGAGGTAGGGGCTGGGGGTAGGGACATCCTCATGGAGATAGGGCAGGAGGAGGTATGAGAAGTGGAGGAGTCAGAGGGCATACTGGGATGAAGATAAAATCTGGACTGTAAAAAGATTAAATAAAATGAAAACAAAATCTAGACAAGGCTTATCAATTTATCCATGCTGTGAAACCATACTATGTATAGAGTGATAAGGTAGAAATGTACAATGAGTAGCTGTTGGTTATCAGCATGGAGGAAGAGTACCTTAGAGAGAACACTCCTCTTTCTCTTAGAAATAACATTAATCTTTGTGCACAAAACAATATAAGACAGAGTATCATGATCCAAAATGAAATTTGGGCACAACACTTCTTAAATTAAGAATTACCTTGCAGAGGTTTTAAACAACAGATTACCTCTGCCACAGAATATCTGAATATTAAATGAAATGTGATCATCTCCATGAACTTTCAACATGTTTAAAGTTTAAGAAATTGTAAGTTAATTTTTTTCTAAAAACACTGAAATTTAAGAGTCTCACATAAAGAAAGAAAAAAACAAAAGAACTCAAAACTGACATTGCCTTCTTGGTTACCAGTGAAACTGGCCTTGAGAAGATCCCTAGGTTCTTCCTTGTTGCCAGTTTCCATGTTTTATCTGCTGTCTTTACTGCTCTAGTGGTACCTGCTGTGGCCTCTGTGCTAGTAGCTTCTCTGCCTTCTGCTTTCTCTCCTTCAGATATTGCCTCTCCTGCTGTGACTGCTGAATTCTTTGTTGGGACCATTGATCCTGCTGAGATTGATATTCCTGTTTCTTCCAAGGAACAAGGACTTGCTGGTAAGAGGGTAGTCTCTCTCTTTGGCTGGAAACCACAAATTCTGTGTGGGTATAGAGTAAGCAAGCATGAGTGATGAGATGCAAATACCAGTTATTTAAAAGACTTTATCACATTGTCCTTTTCTCTAACATGCCATCAATTTCTAACCCCACTATTCACCAATATACTAACCAGATGAGTTACTTTAAATCTAAAGATGGATAGTATGGGCCATTGTGGCTTGCCATGTGTTACGAGACTTTTTAGCTTTAGAGAAAAGAACTTACATAGAATGTTCCCACAGAAAAGAACCCACCAAAATTTCATAAGTTAATTCCCCAACAAAATTTCCCCAGACTCCAGTAGTTTTTTCTCAGCCCAGAGAATTGTGTCTATAAGAGCAAATTAAATTTTTTTATTCCTCCAATTAAAAAATTTAATATGTTAAATTTCCATAGTTTCAATTGTATGTTAATGGCCTGCAGGTTCTTAGGATAGAATAAGAACTCAAGTGATCTCTACATTGACCTAAGAACTCTTCATTCCTATTTTGTTTTTATTTTTGTTAAGTCTCTTGCCTCACTTCTGTTTGTGTGATCACCTCTACCATATGAAGAATCACAGTCCTCATAAACATATTTGCATACCTCGATTTGATTTCTGAGCTGAGCTCAGAACCAGCACAACCAGCGTTAGTAGGACCACCAGCATCTTGAAGGAAGCTCTAGAGTTGTCAAATGTGAGCTCAGGAAAACAATGCAACTGGATTTATAAGGAGTGGTGAAACAATGGCACCTTTGAAGCCTGGCTGGGTGACCTTGTCCCTGATCAAACAGGATGCTGTGTCCCTGACTCTCCTCTGGCACTGCAGCTCAACAGGATATGGTAGAGAGTGTACCTTTGGCAGAGGTTGGAGGTAACAATATCATACAATCAATCTAGGTAATAAAATTTTATTATTCCTTTGCAAATTTTATTCTATTTAGTGAATTGTGGCCATACATGATCATCCACTGCATAGAACTGAGTGGCAAATTTGGGTCCACACATATTCGTGTTTGTTACTATTAGTCCTTTAGCCAAAAATTAAGAAAAGGTTTCCATTTGGGGTTAGCATTATTACTCATAGTCCAATAGTTATACTTCTTTATAACACTGCATATATGGTAGCCAACTATGAATGTCATGGAATAGTAGATATTTCTCCTTGGCTCTGTGGTCAGTTGTGAAACAAAGTTAGCACTCATCCTACTGTTGCTCAGAAAGATTTGATAGGAATCTATGACTTGTCCTTAATCAAAGAAGACTTGGTATTGATGGAAAACAGGCCTAAAATTATCTGATCGCAAAGAATTCTTCTAACTTATTAAAACCAAGAGAATCTACGATGGAATTTTCACAGCACAGGAACATAAATTTGAACTGTCTTGAAAATCTATGCTATTTTACATCTTTCAGACATCTGGTCCTTCCCACTTTCAAGAATGTTTTTAGTGGTTGAGGTTGTTGGTGGTTTTTTTTTAATTTTTTTTATTTTGTTGTTGTTACTGTTGTTTTTATCTTTCAGGAAATTGTTATTTTGTTTGTTTGTCATTCACAGACACCAAACACTGATTAGCCCTGGTTATGCAATGGAAGAACATAGCCTATTGCCTCTCCCAGAATATTAGTTGATTTGTACCATCTCATGTAAATGTCATTTATCATCAGATATGATTTTATTCTTGGGTTGTTCTATAACAGAGGGAAGCATATTATAATATCCTGGTACTCATTCTTCCCTACTCTCTACTGGCTTGTTATAAATTAAACTTTTAATCCATTTTCTCCATGTTTATTTACCATTTTCTATTTGGCCTTTTTCTCTCATGCTTTGAAAGAATACACTTATTTAATCATGTAAATATACATCTATTCTAATCTTCTTCATTATCTTGTTTCAAGTTTTATTTTCAAAAATTTGGTAACAAGGCATTTTGGTTATAATAGGGCCTTTTGTTGGATATGTGCATTGCTTACTGTCTTTTAATGCTTATTTTATTATATTTAAAGGTTAAATCTCAGAAAAAAGTGCAACAAAGGACATGTTCACTTAGATTTCCAAATCACTTTAAATGATACAACATCAGAATATCTAAGGAAAGAGGTATATTCAGAAGAAGCAAAAGGATTGTGGCAGACTTAGTAAGAGTTAAATTTTTAAAAAATCTGCTGGAAAAATATTATGAACATACAAAAATAGGAAAAATCTCAACCTAGAAAGGAAGAGAAAATCTTAAAAGTGAAGGAAAAAGAAAATCATCCATATACCTAATGCAAGAATTATCATCACTAACAGACTCACACTGCAACAAATATGAGAATTTATGCTCTAGAAAGGTGGAAAATGAGACTATATAGGAATCAATAGAAAAAAGAAAACAACAACCAAAGTAATAAAATTGAGAACTTCTTGAAAAATATCCAAAATATTCTTCTTATTTAAATTCATAAGTGATTTGTGTGCCTTATAGCATTTACCTACAAGTTCATATTAGCTCAATTTTAAGTAACACATTTATAATAACACATTTCAAATATTGCATGGTAAAAAATAAAGAGAACATAGAGGTTAATATAGTCTTAAAATGACACTATTAGTTCTACTGAGTTTTTAAATGAAATTTTTTGCTCATAATACCTGCTTAATTCTGAAAGATACCTATAATTCTTTTACAAAATGGTTTTTCCTTGTTTTTTCACTGTCTCATATGATGTTTACTTTTTATAGCTTAGTTTTCCATACAGCTGGATTTAGGAAAATGAGATAACTTATTCTCTGACTGTTATTAATTAAAAATTTAGTTTATATGAGTGGAAAATATGGATAGAGATGTACATTCCCAAGAGGGGAATGTAAACACTAAGGGAGAGTAGAGAAGGAGAAGAAATAACATTAAAGTTATTTGATAAAGCCATAAGGCATTCTATTACTTTATATCTATGTAATTACATATAATATATACAAGTTTATATATATATTCATAATATATACACATAATATAATACGCATTTATACATACACACACACACACACATACACACACACATATATATATATGTGTGTATATATATATATATTCACTATATATTCACATATACTTTCTTAAGAGTTATTGGTCAGTGGAGTTCAAGAGACCCCAAAATAATATAGTGTATTGACATTATCCTTTTTGGGTTCTAGAAAAAGAAGGTATGACTCTATTACTGAAGACACCCACATACTTCAGATACAGGTCCTGGAAGACTCTATCCAATCTGACCCGGAAGCCTCAGCAAGAACCAGTGTGGGGGAATTCATGGGTGGGGAGGTGGGAGTGGGTGGTTTGGTGGGGGCACATCCTCATAGAAGCAGGAGGAGGGGGATGGGATAGGGAGTTTCTGGGTGGGAGGGAAATTGGGAAAGGGAATCACATCTGAAATGTAAATAAGATATCCAATTAAAAAAAAGTACACACATAAAAAAAGAACTATACAAGTTTAGAAAGAAGAAAGGCAATCAATAATAGTATGCAGTATATCACCTAAAACCAAAGCAGTTTTCAGCACAAGATATTCTGAAAGAAGCTATAATGGATCCTGGGAGTAGTCAGCAGACAATTAATTAGACTTAAGTTCTGCTAACACAAAGGGAATTCATATGTAGTATGTAAAATTAGCCAATTCTGTGGCTGGAGAGACCATAGGACCCAGAGAACAACCTACCCCTGTCAATTTTTTAAAGCAATCAAATCTTTAACTGCATTCTAAACACCTATCATTATAGCTACAGGTAAGGGTAGATATCACCCTCATTGGAGCAATTTCTTTTTTTCTTCAGAGATCATTACAGAAAGCCACAGGTAGTCCAAATGAAAAGATAATGACCCATAAGTTGTCAAACCCCAAATTATGGCATTTACAGTACAACCTTAACACCAAAAGCTCAGAGAACATTGTTGAAAAGGGAAAGGAAATGATTCTTAGTAACAAACTATCACATCCAGAAATTTTAAGAGAGATAAAGAAAGTCAGGCCTAATACCACCAGTTATTTTTCCTTTTTGCTTTATATAAAGCACTGGTGATGAAGGGTAAACTCATCACTGATTTTGAGGAGAATCTTGTTATTCATCCAAACAATTCAGAGCAACTATTTGTATAGTTAATGCCATTAGCACATGATGGAATCTGTCATAGCAGATGGTGGAGTGAACACTGTAGCCTCATTTGCTAGCATGCAAATCAGGTGTATTCTTTTTCATAGTTTTGTATTATTTTGATTGTTTCATCTCTCAGGGATTTGAATTCATGAAGGTTAGATAGTACTTAGTGAAATTTGAAAAGCATATTCAAGAACTGTCTAACATGATACATGGATGTTGATCATCTTTAGATCTTAGATGATATGAGAGTTTCATTGCTATACTATGGTTTACATAAAAGAAAATTTTAAACCCATAAAGAAAGATTAAGAAGATCTCATCTGTATGTTTCCATGCTTTTGTCATTGAAAATGTCTTGATTTCATCTAGGAACAAAAGTATTTTTTAATATTATTGTGGGTAGCTAGTCCCTATCCTTGCTCACCTAAAAGTCATACAGCCATTTATGCCATTCATTTGAGACCTGAAAACCTCAAGAGAAATAAACCATGAGTTCTGATTCGTTAATTTCTGAAATGGAATTAAATGTTAAGAGTGCTTGTTATTTATATCCTGTTTTATTTTGGGACTGGTTTCCTAATCCATACTTATCAAACACAATTTTCTATTTAGTAATTTAACAATTATATTTATTAAAAACATTTTGGGAAAAAAAACCAGTGGAGACACGGAGTCACCAACCAACCTAGGGAACTGGTTAGTTGATATTGTTAGTATTCCTACAATCCCTTCATCTCCTTCAGTCCTTCCCCTAACTCACCCATACTGGCCATCAATGGTCAGTCCAGGCTTGGCAGTAAGTATCTGCATTTATCTCAGTCATCTGCTAGTAGAGCATTTCAAAAGACAAGCATGCTAGGATGATGTCTGGAAGCACAATATGACATCAATAATAGTGTCAGGGTTCGGTCCCTGCTGATGGGATGGATCCCAAGTTAGTCTAGTCACTGGATGACCTTTCCTTAAATGTCCATTCCATTTTGTCCCTGAGTTTCTTTTAGACAGGACAATTCTGGGTCAAAAATTTGAAGGTATGTTGAATAGAGTTACATCAGGATATTTTATGGCTGTTGTTGGTCACTTGGTTTTGACTCAAAACTATAGTACGGAACAAAGAAAAAAAATTCAGCAAATATTACGTGTCTAATTGAGTATCTGCCTGTAGATGAATACAAATAGATCCATATCTATCACCTCGCAAAAAACACAAGTGGATCGAAGACCTCAAACATAAAATCAGATTTACCAAACCAAACGAAGCTATCAGGATGAGAAGTGAATTAATAAGTTAATTAATATAAGTGAAAACTATAGCAAACATGCCATTTACCTAAATATATTCAGTAAAGAGACTATCATCAAGCAAATTTTTATTTTTCTGCAAATAGAAAAAATATATTGTGTTATGTATTTGATAATCACCATTTAACAAGTGCATGCCTTCCTACCATAACGTTTATTATACACACACACACACACACAGAGAGAGAGAGAGAGAGAGAGAGAGAGAGAGAGAGAGAGAGAGAGAGAGAGAGAGAGA